TGTCCAGCCATCAACAACAGGATAAAAGTGTTCGTTTCCTGGTGAATTTTCCACCCAACACTAAATTTCTGAAAGCTTTTTTCATGACCTCATTCCTGAGACTGTAGATAATAGGGTTAAGAGTTGGGGGTATTACTGTATAAAACACAGAAATCATAAGGTCAAAAACAGTTGGAATCAGAAGTTGGTTTGAGAAACTCAAAGATAGCCGTGGGGACAAAAAATAAGACAACAAAGAGATGGGGCAGGCAGGTGGAGAAGGTTTTGGCTTGTCTCACTGCTGATGGTATTCTTAGAACTGTGGAGAAGATGTGGATGTAGGAGAGGACAATGGAGGTGAAGCAGATGAATGCCATCAGAGACATGAAAGCAGCCACTCCAACCACTCCAAGATAGTCATTGGAGCAGAAGAGCTTTATCAACTGAGGGACATCACAAAAGAACTGGTGGATTACTGTGGTTCTACAGAATGTGACAGAGAATGTGGCTGTTGTGAACAAGATTCCAGAGATGCTTCCACTTAGCCATACAGCTGTCACAGCCCACTTACACTTATTAGGGTGCATGATCACATCATAGTGTAGTGGGAAGCAGATGGCTGCATAGCGGTCATAAGACATCACTGTGAGAATGGCCATTTCAGCCCAAGCAAAAGATGTGAAGAAGAAATATAAAGGTTCTTTTTTCTTACTCTGGGAAAATGAAACATAAGCTTAATCTGTCTAGAAGTCCCCCCACTGCTCTCCATCTCTGGTGTTACAGCTTTCTGTATCCTAGGTGAAGGGAGTTCCAAGCCAGGGACGACCGGTCAAAAGGAAATACTCTGCTCCCTCCTTTCTTTTTGCTGTTAGTCAGACCTGTCTCTCACCTCTAGGATGGCTCATTTTAACCCCACTAGGGTGGTAAAACTGACCAATCCCATCATTAGACTTCTGCACACCTTATTTCCATGGTCCAACTCCCACAAGCATGCCACGCACCACCTTATTTAGATTCCTATTAAACTATCCAATCCCCTTGGTGGGCCACAAGCCCCTCACATTTGCATAGTCCCACCCAGTCATTTTGTGAGTTACAAAGTCTATGGCTAGAAGGGCTATATGAAATAATTCACTGCATCTCAGTCCCGTTTTCTCTCCTTTTTTTTTTCTAGAGTTGGTAAAGTGATGAACAGCATTTTTGTTGATAT